TTATTACGAATGTTATTGTGTTATTAGGGTCGTTTACGGACTATTAGATTCATATTAGATTATTCCGGTTTTTCTCGAAAAATTCGAATGGAATGATCCATGTATGCATGTTTGCATAACTCAATCACCACATGCACAAAATCGGACTTACCTTACCTCTTACACAAGATGCAGACACAGTTATGCAGAGTGCCGTCTATGCATGGAGGAGGATGAAACGGCTAAACACATACAGGTAGGTACATACATACATGCCCTGCAGCGGCCAGAATCAGATTTTCAACATTTGGCAATACAATAGTAGGTCCAGAAAACCTGGATAAATTGTTCACCCAACGTACTCCTTAATTTTGACAAGAGATTAGATATACTGGGAGAAATATAACCATAGGGCGAGCCACAATAGGCCATAGGCCGCAGTGGAGGGCCTGACATAGGCCCACTCACGTTTAACGAACGTTTAACCTATGACCTAACCTAACCTAATATGTTTGCATCAGTGGCCTCGAAGAGTATGTAAATGCCTACATTTTGGCGCAAACCGCGATTCAATATATCTATTTGTCTTCGAGTTATTGGCGAATAACTGATTTTCAATTTAGAAATTGTTAATTTTAAACAAATCAACTATTTATTCACTTCCATCGTGATAGAATTTAATTCCTTCAAACTTCTTAATAGCATACAAAATTTTCAAGGAAAAACTCTCGACTTAGTAATCACATCGGCAAATAACGAACAAAATTGTAGCGTGCAAAGAGAATGTATACCGTTTGTCAGAGAAGACATATTTCATCCAAGCCTCAATATAAATATTGAATATAAAAAAAGTAGTCAATGTAACAAACAGATGAATAATCAGGATCAATATAACTATAAAAAAGCTAATTTCGACAATCTAACCTTAAATGTGCGGGATACAAATTGGGCGGGTGTTTTAGCAGAAACCGATGTAAACCAGGCTTTAGATGCCTTCTATAAAATATGGAATACAATAATAGCAGAATCTGTCCCAAAGTTTAATATATACAAAAACTATAAATCGTTTCCTATCTGGTTTACAAATGAAATAAAGAGTATGTTGAAAGAAAAAGACACATATAGAAGGTTACAGAAAGTATCGAATTTTTACAGGGAAAAGTATATACTAATGAGAAAGAAATTGAAAGCAATTATAAAAAAAGAAGAGAGCAGGTATCTTAAAGAGCTGCAGGATAATATATCAGATAATGCGAACTGCTTTTGGAACTATGTTAAAAGTAAAAAGGCAAACTGCACCGATGTTGGAAATTTTCTATATAAAAGTAACTTAGTGAAGGAAGAGGACACCGCTGAAGTTTTTGCAGAATTCTTTTCTTCCATTTATGATTCGAATAAGGCGTCTTATAGCCTAAATTCCGATATTGTAGGGGGCGTCAACGACACATTCTCAATTGAAGCTATTTCGGAGGCAGATTTCGAGGAAGCGGTAAAGAAATTAAAACCAAAAAAAGCTGCAGGCACTGATAGTATCCCTCCCTATGTCTTAAAAGGTTGTAGTGAATGGTTAAAAAAACCACTCGTTCATATTTTCAATAGAATTATACAGTCTAAAGTCTTTCCAGAGCAATGGAAAACAGCCATCACTACACCAATCTATAAATCTGGCGGTAAGGTGAACATAGAAAATTACCGGCCTATTTCAATTATGTGTGCTCCATCCAAGCTGTTCGAACAGATCATATACAGTAAATTATACCAATATGCTGAAAAATACGTAATATCTGAGCAGCATGGTTTCATGTCAAATAAGTCGGTCAATACAAATTTGTTTATTTTTGGAAACCGAGCATTTGAAACATTTGGATGTAAATCCCAAATGGACACGGTATTTACCGACTTCCGCAAGGCATTTGACCGTGTAAATCATGATGTCCTTCTGGAAAAGTTGGCACTGTTCGGATTAACGAAGAACTCTATTGAATTAATGAAAAATTATTTAGAAAATAGAAAATTTATTGTCAGACATAAAGGAAATGTATCTGGAAAATATTATGCAAACTCTGGAGTGCCGCAGGGCTCCAATTTGGGGCCTCTCCTCTTCATTATATTTATAAACGATCTCTCTACGGTTATTAAATACTCCGAATGCCTCTTGTTTGCAGATGATCTCAAAGTATATAAAAAAGTACATTCAGTAAGGGATTGTGTTATGCTGCAGAAAGACATGCATAGTATTTATGAATGGAGCCTGATTAACAAACTACATTTCAATCTCAGTAAATGTAAAGTGATGAGTATAACTCGCACTAAAGAGCCGATTATCTTTAACTATGAGATGGGAGGAGAGGATCTATTCAGATGTACAGAAATTAAGGATCTTGGTGTAACCTACAATGGAGTTTTTTCATTTGCGGAACATATAAGGAATATAGTGTCAACCGCTAACAGAACGCTAGGATATGTAATGAGACAATCTGCAGCATTCACAAATATTACCACTATAAAACTACTCTATATTACACTTATAAGGCCTAAGTTGGAGTTTGCATCATTACTGTGGTTTTCAGAGTATGCATCCTCATTGGATAAAATAGAGAGAGTACAAAACAAATTTTTAAGAATATTGTATTTTAGAAAATACCGTTCTTGGCCTGATTATACAGTTAGATCAACATATTTAAGAAATGAATTCAATATGATGTCCTTGGACCAGAGAAGAAATTTAATTGCAATTATGTTTCTGTACAAGGTGATTAACAGTAAATTAAATAGTCCCGAAATTCTTTCACTTATTCCTTTTAATGTACCTGGGCGTCGTACTCGTTCAATACTTATGTTCAATATACCAAATTCTCTCTTAACTTTAAGAGCTCCTCTCGTAAGTATTATAAAATTAATCAACAATTATAATGTATTTGTAAATGTCGATTTCTCTCTACCCCCTAAAGTCTTTTATACAGTAATTATCAATCACATATTGGATATCTCCTTATGAAATGTAACAGGTCTCAATGGATTTTCCCGATATTTCCAATGTATATATGTATATGTATATGTTTGTGTAGGTGTATATATATATATATGTATATATTATATATTATTATTTTGGATTAGGTACAAGCCCCTGCAATTCATTAAGGATATATTGGTATGTAACATGTTTATGATGTAGGTTCATAGCCTAATTATTACACTTCAAGTATTATGTCTAGTTGTTAACCATGTAATAAGGCCGTCTCGGCCTGTTTGGTTAAAATCGAATAAATAAATAAATAAATATCTGTGGAAATATATCTGAGAATACTTTCACCCATTCAAGGAGTTCAAACTTGAATGATGGAAACTTTTTATTTTTATAGACCTTCAATCGCAGATTTTTCATTAGGTTTCCTCAATTCAGAATTCCTTTCCATGTCGTGTATGATGAATATATCGATTTATCATATATCCAAAAACAACTCCATATGATGTCTATTAAACAAATCGTTTCAAATTCGACCGACTATCTATAAGTTCAAAGTCAACCGGTCGATCAGATTCTTACTTTTTTAGGGTGTTTTTTATCAATGACAGAATTTTATTCCGTTTAGAATCAAATCTTAAGGTGATCCAAGGAATTTCAAGTGGTGACAAATTATTTCATGAGTTTGAACGGTTATGGTCAGTTCGAGGGTCAGTTCATAGAAAATATTTATATTTAATTTCAACTTATCTTAAGAGTTCAAGCATTCCTTTCACTAAGATGCATTCATAGAATCTCATTCAACTTATATTTAATTTAGTCCATTCCTTATGGGAAATAGAGCTGTTGAATTATATTAAATATAAATTAAATATAAATGAGAAGTTGACTTTGAGTTAAGTGAGTTAAGGACGGCTATTGTCATCACTTCCAGTGGCCACTGGCTTGATTCTCTCCTCATCTATACTGGAAGGTAGTATCAATTCACGAGGTACTTTTTTATGAATTCTTAAAATGTTTCTTCTTTGTCATTCACACAAATAAATTCTCTTGGTGATTTATATTCTTATTGTCTGTTCATAGAATCTCATTTATATTCAATTTATGTAATTTAATTCAACAGCTCTATTTCCCATAAGGAATGGACTATATTAAATATAAGTTAAATGACGTTCTATGAACGCATCTTAGTGAAAGGAATGCTTGAACTCTTAAGATGAGTTAAAATTAAATATAAATTAAATATAAATAATTTCTATGAACTGACCATCTGTGTCATGAGGAGACCTTATTTCAGGCGCTTACCTACCGTCTGAATTATTTCAATTGAGAAAAAGAATATAAGGAAGTTTAGTACCTACTTAATCTAACAGTTTCTAAATTTGTTTGAACACATGACACTTGATGGTATTGTAATTTGTCTATTGATCAACAAAATATGTATAGCTCTGCGTTTTTGTATAAATGAAATTAACAATATTATATTCTTCATTTTACTTTTAATATCAGAACCGGGAATTATGATACAAAGAAACACAAGATATATAGTAAATTTATCGGGCTCCGCATGACGTCATGCATACACTCCATGATTGAGCTCTTATTTTACTATAGTGAATAGTGAATATATCTTTGTCATCAGTGCAACCAATGTAGACACTATTTGAAGAGATATCCAATGATTCTCAAACTAGAAGCTGGGCTAAAAGCATATTGATGTATCCCCAGGACAACTCTTGCACATTTTGATGAGCCCAAAAATTTCTGAGCACCCTACTCCCATTACTCCCTAGACATGAATGAAGTACTTGTTCAGTAGTATTATATTTTACACTACTTGATAGCTGAGGTAAGAGTGATGAACAAATCACATTCTCTTCTGCAAGCAAGATTTGGAATTTTAGGACAGAAAAATTACCTTTTACAATTTTACTAACATTTTGGGATTACTAAATGTTTTCTTGTTTTTCTGAGTGATGTAGATTTTTACCTTGATCCATCTATTTAGTTGCTTTCTCCTCAAGGAGTTCATGATAATAAAATCAATTTGTGGTGACTATTATTTAATTATCCTTCAATTTGACTGATTCAATTTTCAATGATTTATGCTTCTTAAGATCCTCTTCATCACTGAAGAATTCTGCCAGATCATCTTTAGGAGGTGGAGGCAATTTCTTTTTGTAAACTGATACTGATGGTTTCTCAATCTTTGATATTCCTTGAGATTTGGTGATTGTTGAATAAATACTCATTGCCTGAAAAAAAAATAGACACAATGATGGCTGACAATACACTGATCTGCAAAAATAGTCTTATTCTTGCACCCTAAAACATTGAGAAATGATAATCATCAGAGACTGGTTTTCTCCAGTTTCCTTAATTTTTTGTTCAAAGAAGATAACAGAAAAGTTGATAACAAAAATTTTGATCCATGTAGATGTTGTACTTGAGCATGTCTGATGGATTGAAAATTTAAGAATGTTCAGCTTATTTTTCTCCTATTTACAAATAACATTGTGACTTACTTGTGACACCAAACTAGACACATCTCCTGTATTAGCTGGTAGAATTAATGTATTATTTGTCCTTGCCAACTTATCAAATGCACTAACATATTGCTCAGCAATACTTAAAGAAGCAGCATTTGGACCCAGGTCTTTCTGTAGAGCCTCAGCCACCATTTGGAGCCCCCTAGACCTAGCTTCAGCCACTGAAAGTATTGCTGCAGCTTCACCAGCAGCTTTGTTGATCTGTTCTTGTCTTTCAGCTTCAGAAGCCAAAATCCTTGCTCTTCTTTTACCCTCAGCTACATTTATATCAGCTTCCCTGACCCCTTCTGATTCCAGAATTGCAGCACGTTTCTTTCTTTCAGCCTCCACCTGCATCTGCATTGCATCTTGGACTCTTGGGGGTAACTTGATGTCCCTAATTTCATAACGTAAACATGTCATTCCCCATGCTGCACTAGCTTTATTAATTGAGTCCACCATGGCAATATTTAAACTTTCTCTTTCTCTGAAGACCTTATCTAGAGATATTTTCCCAAGTTCTGATCTCATTGTTGTTTGTGCTAATTGAGTTATTGCAAATTCTGGATCTTCCACTCCATAACTTGCTAAATAAGGATCTACAATTCTCAAATACAAGACACCATCAATGTTGAGTGTTACATTATCTGAAGTTATAGCACTTTGCTTGGGTATGTCAACAGCAATTTCTTTTAAACTTTGAACATATTTAACTCTATCTGCTATGGGAATCAAGATGTTCAAGCCTGGATCTAGTATCCTATGAAATTTTCCCATTCTTTCAACAACCCATGCCTGAAATATGTCATATAATATAAGAATTCACAGAATCCCATTCATGTTATAACATTCTCATTGTTATTTTCTTACTTCTTGTTGTGGTACAAACATCACCACAGTATTCATAGGAGTGTAGGACTTTTTCCTAATTGAGATGTGTCGAATCGTACGTCTAGCATTCTCCTAGAAAAACAAATATTTTTGTAATTTCATGATCACAAATTTTAGATAAATAGGGAAAACATAATTTTTCAATATGACCTCACATTCAATAAAACCCTGGTAATTGTTTTAGAAAGCATACTGTTTATATGCCGTATGCCGTTTTCTTCTTTGAAAATTCAAAAATTATATCACTCAATAAATTATCCAAAGAAAATAAAGAAATACCGCACGAATCGCGCGATAACATAACATAACCTAAACAAACTTTAACTTAAACTTCAAAACTAGTTTGAGTTTAAAAACACGTCAGTTGTCAGTGAGACGAGTTCAGTGACTTCCTGTTTCTTTTCTATTTCTAACTGTCAACTGTCAATCAACCAGTAGTGGTCCATTTATGACAAATGCCTCTCGCCAATCATTCGATTAGTAGCATGCTCCTGATACTGCTGTGCTGCGGAAAACACCTTTTACATTGAATTCATAGGTCAATGGTCTAGCTAGACCCAAGGATTATAAATTCTGCAGTTTACTTGATATTTAGCTGTCATTGACTATGATAATTCTTTGACCGAAGACTTACCGAAGACGAAGACAGACCATAGAGGAGTGTACAACTCTTTACTCCAGTGGTACACCGGTGTTAGCCGTTGTAACTCGGTGGAAAATCCTAAAACCCTGAGGCCTGTTCATTTGTGTTGCTAAACTTGCTAAACTTGATTTTGTTTCCATAGTTGTCTCTGTTCATGGCATGACGTAAACAGAGGAAGCCATTAAAAAACAAGTTCAGCATGTAGAGCGAACACAATCGGAGGCCTCTTCTGGCTAGAGTCCCTGTATATAACTTAGACAAGAGTCCGGACACAGCTATACTTCTGTCCTTTTCTGTTTTCAAAAAATGCATTGATGATTGAATAAAGGAATAAGACATATATATCGAGCTCTGTCTTCTCAATTCCCCTAGTATCAATAGGTCGCGTGCACGATGACCGACCCTGGAGGCAAAATATTGAAACACAACCTCATTCTTCTGTGAATTATTGAAACACAACCTCACTTTTTTATTTGGTTACAGAGGAATCAGAAGGTTGAAATAGTTTTTCACAATATTTTGGCATACGAATCGTGTTTCTTGCGTTATTCATTAATTCAAGCATGCCTGCGCATTGTGCTGTTGTACAATGCACAAAAAATGCAGCAAGAGACTAGGGAATATGATTTTTCAGGTTAATAGTAATCTCACATAGTTAGCATTATGAAATGTTGTCATTCCTTATTAAAATTCCTTCTGCCTTCTGCCACTTCTGCAATACAAGCCAGGCGCGTGCCTGAGGGGGGGGTAATGGGGTAATTACCCCCCCCATGACCACGATGATGATGAAAAAATTTGAACATTCCTTATTTTCAAACTTAAAAAATGATGATGATGAAGACACAACGATGGGCTTTCACACCTGTCTTCTAGTCTTCAGGCTTCTAGTCACAACATTAAATTATAAATTTCGCAATCAGGGTGGCGCATTATGGAGTTGAGTGTTGAGTGAACTGGGTTTCCCTTTAATTTACACTATTTTACAAATTCAAGTGACATTACCGGTATCTGTCGCTTCGGCAGAACGCAGTTTCTCGACTTTAAGAAGACTGAAAACTTATATTAGATCAACCATGTCGGACACTCGTTTAACAGGACTTGCCTTGCTGAATATACATCGGGATATGAAAATTAATATAAATAATATCATTGACAGATTTAGTGCTAAAAAACAAAGAAATATGGAATTTACAATTTGATACCATTCATTTATCATTTATAGGTAACCTGTTTTTATTATTTTGTCTGTTTTGTTATGTTTATATATTTTTAGTTGTACATTCTCTCATTTTTGAGTTATTGTTTTCGTTTTGAAGAATATTCTGCTAATTTATTTTCAGTTACACATTTACTTATTTTTCAGTTATTATTTTTGTGTTGAATGATATTCTCTTTATTTATTTTTACATTCTTTTATATTCGAGTTATTGTTTTCGTTTCGAAGAATATTTATTCTGTTATTTATTTTTAGTTATACATTTTTTTATTTCTGAGTTATTGTTTTCATTTTGAAATATATTCTGTTTATTTATTTTTACACTCTCTCATATTCGAGCTATTGTTTTAAAGAACATTTTGTTAATTTTTTTAAGAATTAAATATGAATGCCTTAGTGTTACTGAAGTTTAACTTTTTAAAACGTAGGAAATATTGGTCCTGAAATGGGTGATTACCCCCCCCCATGAAATTACCCTAGGCACGCGCCTGATACAAGCTAATGCTGCTAATAGATTGAAAATGTCTACAACACACACGATCGTCAGCATGTCAGACCAGTCCTACCGATTTATTGCATGAATCCAATCTTCTTGCATTATTCTAGAAATTTCAGGTATAGGTATTTCTATTAGCTGATCCTATTGCAGAAGGAATTCCGATGAGAAATCAGAGAAATAATCAAATTTCAAAAATGAAAACTATGTGAGTGACTATAGTAGGTACTTACTTTTGAATCATAATGTACCATCCGGATTTCTTCATCTTCCGCTGCAGTTTTTGTGCATTTTACAACAGCACAATGTGATGGCATTAGCGAATTGATGGAAAGCGGAAAAATACGATTCATATGCCAAAATAATTGTGGAAAACTATTTCGATCACTTGTAAACAAATATGTTTTGCCTCCAGGGTCGGTCATCTGACAGTTCTTGCACGCGACCTATGATTGTCAGAAACCCTTTTGAGGGTTAGATTATTTGTCAAACCGTTCATAGCCGTAGGTAGAAGTGAGAAATAGGGCTATTTTAACTAGATTAACTATTAGATTTTCGAATAATGAACAACAGGGTGTTCAAATTTCGAATCGATTATTTTCATAATCAATTCCTGATATGGCTATTGCAAATTTTTGTCATCAGATATTTCTTCACTTCATTAGATATAAGAAAGATAATTTAAGTGTTCTACGTGGTATCACATATAGCCAAGAAAATATAGTTGTTTTCTGTTGGGATATAAAAAAATAGAAGATATATAATTGTTTCAATATAATCTTCTCCAATTCTCTCAATTTAATAACACTCATCAGAAATAAAAGAGACAAAATCAAAACAACAATATATTTGATAGCGAGTGCTTTATTAATTGTGTTTCCCACCTCTTCCTGCAGTCTACATTCACCTGTACATTTTGAATTTGATCTGAATTAATAACACCGTGGACTGATGATATAGCACATTGCAGTTTCCCTAAATCTTCTAGTTTTGATTCGAGTTTTGATTTCAAACTTTCAATTTCTTTCCGCATCATCTCATTCTCATTTTCTTTCTCTGCGAACGTATCGCAGACTCTTTCAATTTGAAATCCATTAGCTTGAAAAAATCTCTATCAAAATGGGCCTAAAATTCATCCTTTGTGTACTGTTTTCACAAGTAAATTTGAATATATTTACCTCACATATTGCGGATTTCTTGAAATTAATTTTCCATTCTGGACGTTTCATTGCATTCTTCCATGACATTATCTTTCTAATGAATTATCGCAATAATGTACGTAGCAGGACATTGATATAATTTAAAATGCTAAATTTTGGCGGTCATAAAATTTCAAAGTGACAGACATTCGGAATAATTAAAAAAAGCGGGCGGGACGACTATGGTGTTTCGTCACATTGTCAGGTGGGCAAACCAAATGAAACAAAATATTAGAAACCCCAACGGCTGTCAGTTTTGTGTCCGGACTCTTGTCTAAGGTAGGTATATACAGGGACTCTACGGGACTCTACTTCTGGCATTTCTGCCATTAGAATCCAAAAAGTTTTGTCAATGACGGCTAAATATCTGGACTGTCTGACGAGTCCAGATATCTAGCCGTCATTGGTTTTGTGTTGTTTTGTGGTTTGTGGTAATCCGGTAAATTTTTCTGTGACGTTTTCGAATTATTTGTCATATTTTTGTTTTTTCTCGACTGACGCATTTTCATTTCCATATAACTTTCAGAGAATCTATTGATTTTCACGGTTTTATATTTGTTGTGAAATCTTTGGAGTGATAAAATACTTACCAATTCAATAAATTGTTTTATTGAAATTTCCCGCGTAAAAGACGAAATCGATTCCGGTTCTGCCATTTCCCATTTCGTGCTTACAAAACGAGAAACGAGCGAGCAGTGGTTTCTTTTGGTGAAACTGTTAATTTCTGCTCGAGTGTGGTGCTTTTTTATAACAGTTTATACGTAAGTTTACTATTTTTAATTATATTATGTGCACTCCTTCTTTTAAAAATGTCCTACATTATTTCTCTGCGTCCAAACTTTCCATTCATGCAGTTTTTATAGAATTCTTTCAATTTCCACATTCTTCATTGTACCTAATGGTCGCTCATTTCTATTATGGAAAAAACTGTACATTGGTTTTGATCAAAATTATTCATCTATCAAGGTTTCTTCATGTCCTAATTGCTTATTATATGTTGGTGATTTGACACTATTTGTCTGAAATACTCGGTTTTCTTATATATATCTTATATTTAGCACATGAGTTTAATAGAAATCTTTGTAGATATGGCGATGACCTGCTTTCATCAGTTTTATCCGTTGTGTTGGAATACTCCGATCTTCAAATTGAAAACTGCTTCTAGAGTAAATGTTTTATCTAATATCTATTTGATCATGATTTCATTAGAAAGTTTTGCATCCATTCCTTATTGAAAAGTCATGGTTTAAGGAGTTGCTTTGCCCTTTCCCTCTCCATTATATCAACTTATCAAGATTCAAGCTACCTCCCCTTTTCAGTTTTAGGTATTTCTCAAGTATTTCTTTTGTTATTTCTTTGCCCTTTCCCTTTCCATTATATCAACTTATCAAGATTCAAGCTACCTCCCCTTTTCAGTTTTAGGTATTTCTCAAGTATTTCTTTTGTTATTTCCAACCAAGAAATAAGTAGCTTCTATTCATTATCATTTCTACCTAGGGACCTCCTATCATATCTGACTAGAGTCCCTGTATGTATATTTTGCTGTTAAATACATACAGGGACTCATATCTGACCAGCTGGTAATTTTTTATGGTATAGGGCAAATCTGCTTCCACTGATACATTTTTAATTATGAAACAAAAATAGGTATCTCATGAGTCAATTTTCTACTTATATTCATTGTACTGGTATGACTCAAAATCATTAAAAATGTATTTTTTTGAAGATATTGGAATATTGGAATGTGAATGTGTTGTTCAAAGAATAAACAATATGAAATGAATCTGAAAATACTTGGAAATCATTAAAATATTAAGATATTTTATCATCAATTATTTAGCTTACTGTTACTGTTTTTGCAGAAATTTTTGTATGAGTCAAAAGGTAGAAAAACCAGTTCTATCGGGTCAACGCATCAAGACCAGAAAAAGAGGTAAGAATAGACTGAATAATAATCCTTTGTTTATATTATATTAACATGTTTTTAACAAAGGTGGATTTGATCAGCAGAATTTAATATCAATGATACCTATTAATGTAGTATCAGTTTGAACAGTTGATGTGTTTTTAGTGTTACAAGATTGAGTACTGTCTGTAGGTTAATCATGGAGGTGGTACATTCTTTTTTCTAGATTTTTGGGGAAAATGATTCCTTATTCCCAGGACTTTCTTTAAATTGTTAATAAATATCAACCATTTTAATACAACTCCTGTGGCTACCACAATCAGCAACCAAGTCATTGTGGCTATCACAATCAGTTTTAATACAGAGATATAGGTTGTTCAAAATCAAGATTTTTCAACTTCAGGATTTTTGTCAGTAGATGGTAAATCAAAAGTCAAGATAGAGACATGTTAGCTGTTTTGACCAATTTTGAATAGTTTCTACACAATAAAATCCTAAAGTTGAAAAACATCTATTTTGAACACACTATACAGGGTGGTTCACGGTGGATGGCCTATTGGAAGTATCTGGAGAACGAAAAGACAGAACAGTCTGAAAATTGGAATGCTTTGATAATTGAATATTTTCTATCCCTCTAATATATTTTCATCGATACAGTGTTGCCACTTCTATCAGAAACAACTAGCAACTTCGTTATTTTAAATGGAGCACCCTGTATTTTATTGCATTTTCAGATTCTTCCTGAAGAGCTGATTTCATCGATGTATCACACTTTTGGTCTAGCAGGAATGAATACAGAGATATAGGGTGTTCGAAATCCAGATTTTTCAATTTTAGTATTTCTTTCTGTCGAAACTATTCATTATCGATCAAAATGGCTTACATGTCCCTATCTTAACTTTCGATTCACTATCTACTGACATTTAATTGGAACAGATACAGGGTGATCAAAATTCTGAATATATTGAAGCACCCTGTATTTTTTCCAATTAAATTCCAGTAGATAGTGAATCAAAAGTTAAGATAGGGACATGTGAGCCATTTTGATCGATAATGAATAGTTTCGACACAAAAAAATCCTGAAATTGAAAAATCTCGATTTTTGAACACCCTATATCTCTGTAATCATTTCTGCTAGACCCCAAGTGTGATACATTGATGCAATCGGCTTTCCAGGAAGAATCTAAAAATGCAATGAAATTCAGGGTGTTTCATTTGAAATAACAAAGTTGCTAGTTGTTTCTGATAAAAGTGGCAACACTGTATCGATGAAAATAATTTGGACTGATAGAGAATGTCCAATTATCAAAGCATCCCAATTTTCAGAATGTTCTGTCTCTTCGTTCTCCAGATACTTCTAATAGGCCATCCACCGTGGATCACCCTGTATATATCTCTGTAATCATTCTCTCTAGATCCCAAGTGCATTGAAGAACTCAGCTTTTCAGGGAGAATCTTAAAATGCAATAATATTTATACAGGGTGGGTCACGGTAGATGGCACCTTAGACGTTTATGGAGAACGGGACATAAGATCATTCTGAAAATTTGGTTACTCAAGTAATTGCTCTTGATCTATCGATCTAAAATATTTCCAGCTCTGCGGCGTTGCCGCTTCTATCGAAAAGTAGCAACAACTTTGTTATTTTAAATAGAACACCCTGTATTTTATTGCATCTTCAGATTCTCTCTGAAGAGCTGATTTTATCGATATATCACACTTGGGGTCTAGCGGAAATTATTACAGAGATATAGGGTGTGAAAAATCGACATTTTTCAACTTAAGGATTTTTTTTTGTCGAAACTATTTATTATTGGTCAAAACGGCTTACGTGTCCCTATCTCAACTTTTGATTAACTATCTACTGATATGTAATTGGGACATATACCGGGTGATCAAGAATCTGAATTCTGCACCACCCTGTATTTGTTTCAATTAAATGTCAGTAGATAGTTGATCAAAAGTTGGGATAGGGACATGTGAGCCGTTTCGACCAATAATGAATAGTTTCGACAAAAAAAAATCCTTAAGTTGAAAAATGTCGATTTTTCACACCCTATATCTCTGTAATAATTTCCGCTAGACCCCAAGTGTGATATATCGATAAAATCAGCTCTTCAGAGAGAATCTGAAGATGCAATAAAATACAGGGTGTTCCATTTAAATTAACAAAGTTGTTGCTACTTTTCGATAGAAGCGGCAACGCCGCAGAGCTGAAAATATTTTAGATCGATAGATCAAGAGCAATTACTTGAGTAACCAAATTTTCAGAATGATCTTATGTCCCGTTCTCCGTAAACGTCTAAGGTGCAATTGATATTGATTTATTATGAAGTTTGATGCTACACAATTCAGTTTTATTATAGCTAACTGTTGCAATATGTATTTAAGTTATGTTATTAGACATTCCTGATAAAAATTGATGAGATTAGTCACTGGGTTAGGGAAAACCTTGAGCTTTATCATACTTTCGTCACCGGATGATATTTTGTATTCAGTGCAGAATTTCTGAATATTGACAAATTGAATCCAAAATACTTCAATCAATGAACGCCAAGATGAACGCCCAATAAAGAGGTGTAGATGACATGGAAGAGGACAGAATTTTCGACACTAGGGATGTGTTAAGAGTAGATAGGATTGATAGGAAGTAAAGATTCCAAAAGTCCCCGAACTTATAGTCCAAGAGCCGGCTGCAAATTTCGACCGTCATGTGATAACGAGATGATATACAGGGTGTAGCCATTTTTTTCAATTTCAACAAAAATTCCATTACTCCGATTAACTTGAAATTTGACAGGTGTTCATAATTTCGGTGACAATACATTATGGAATTTTTGTTGAAATTGAAAAAATTGGCTGCTCCAAGATGGCGGACAAGATTTGGTCCGATTCCATTCAAAATTGGTAAGTGGGGGTTTTTGAGGTCGGAGATCATGTTTTTTTGGTAAAATTGATAAATTCAAGATGGCGGCTTCCAAATAATTTTTTGTTCTTGTATAAATGACGATAACTCCGTTGTTATCAACACAAAACTATTACTGTGACATATCATCTGTGAGAGAAAAAAAAGTTATTTGTAACTAAGTCATAGTGAGCTATGACCTTCATTTGAAAATCTAAAGTTTGTGCTGATATCTCAAATTCTAGAAGAGTTGGTATAAATTTCATATTTTTTTCGAAATCACTTTGAAAAACTGCCATGAGAATGTGAAATTCCTATTTGAATATTTTCATAAATAAAGAAGTTACGGAGGAGACATGAAAATGATCAAAATCTGTTTTTTGCGTACAAAACAAAAACGAATAAATTTTATCAAAAATTTTTTTCACATTAAAGTTGGCCTTGACAAACTCCACATTTGGTGTCATTTAACCGACCTCGTATCTCTCACCGTTTAAAAGATACCCATGGTGAGCATGGTAAGTGGGACACACTGTATAATATAAGGTTATCAGATGACGATCGAAATTTGTAGCCGGCTCTCCTCCTATTACAAGGTGAGCCAATTGCAGGGAGCGACGTAGGTCCCTTTTTTTATTTATCGTTTATATCACAAAAACGGTACGTCACTGCAAAAAAGTCAATCTATTCAAAATTGTAGCTGATGAAATTGTCTACAATATTGTATTAGTAGATTTTCTTCTTAGCTTTCATAGTTTTCGAGATATTCGTCAGCGAATCATGTACATTCATGACAGAACAATTTTTTTTCTAGCGTATTTTGCAGTTTATCACCAAAGTCTTCGACGAAGAAGTCGCAAAGGCGTCAATTACCTTCAAAATGTTATGTCATATTTGTATTTTTCATATGCAGGGTGGGGCAGCACATAGGACACGGAGTTTCTATGGAAAACCATGGAATATCACGGATTTTTTGTCGGTTGGCTGGATCTATAATCTTTGTATGGGCCATTTAAAATCATTATGAGCTATATATTGTGTTAGGAGAAAAATATTTGTATCGAAGGTTTTTTTTTAAATGAACAAAAAGTTTCCATTGATCGTTTTTTAAAAAAACTCACAGTAGCCGGTTTTTTCGCTGTCCGAATTGCCGGTAAGGTTTCACGCGTATTTCAAATAACCTAAGTGCACTTTTCCGCTGCCACCATATAATGTTTTAGATATAATCAAACATTTAAATAGAATACTCGTTAGTTCTTCACTGTAGATTATTTATTGATACCACTTAAACAATTGTTTACAATCCTTTCAGAGGGAACGCGACATGTGTTCGATCGTACCAAAAATAAACTGACCATTGCGGCGTTGCCAAACATCTGATAGGTAGCAGATGTAAATACATCACAATATGGATTCCCTTTCGTGCGCTCCAAGCGAAAAAAAAAGAAAGGAAGACATTTGGGAAGTTTTTTTTAATACAGTTCATGGTTTCTTTCTTTGGCTTTGAAGTCAGAGATAATATCATATGTAAACCATGTATAGGATATTTGCTTTTCTTATATCTTGATTTAGAATAGATAGATCTGGATCTATAATCTTTGTATGGGCCATTTAAAATCATTATGAGCTATATATTGTGTTAGGAGAAAAATATTTGTATCAAAGGTATGTTTTTTTAAATGAACAAAAAGTTTCAATCGATCGTTTTTTAAAAAAACTCAAAAACAATCGCAGTTAGCTCTGAGTTGTCAGCATATTTTAGATCGCAATCACATTTGCTTCAACTGTGGTAATTTAATTGAAAATCTCTCATAGTTCGCCAGTTAACGGTGAATGTCTGGATTTCTATTGACGATTTTCAAGGTCATTAGATGACGTTGCTGCAATGACATTTAGAAATAGGGAAAACTACGGGAAAACGTGTCTAACTTTCAATCTACGCCAGCGGTAAGGTTAGGATTGTTAGGAAGCATAGGTCGCGTGCAAGAACTGTCAGATTACCGACCCTGGAGGCAAAACATATTTGTTTACAAGTGATGGAAATAGTTTTCCACAATTATTTTGGCATATGAATCGTATTTTTCCGCTATTCATCAATTCGCTAATGCCATCACATTGTGCT